ACTCCTACAAGATGTTATTCTCCTTGCCCTATACACGAAATCACAGCTTCCCTATCTTCATCAACATTTAACAATTCCTCAAAATATTCCTTCCATCTTCCCAATACCTCTAACTCTCCATTTAATAACTCTCCTCTCCTATTTCTAACTGACAAATCCATTTGTTCTCTAGGCTTTCTTAACTTGTTAATCTCACTCCAAAACTTTTTCTTATTTTCAACAAAATTTGTTGATAACATCTCACCCACTCTCTCATTTGCTCTCTTTTTACATTGCTTCACCACTCTCTTAACTTCTCTCTTTTTCTCCATATACTCTTCCCTCCTTGCATCACTTCTACTTTGTAAAAACTTCTCATATGCTAACTTTTTCTCCCTTACTACTCTCTTTTACATCATCATTCCACCAATCGCTCCTCTTCCCTCCTGCACCCACTTTCCTGTAACCACAAACTTCTGCTGAACACTCTAACACTACATTTTTAAACCTACCCCATACCTCTTCGACCCCATTGCCTATGCTCTCATTAGCCCATCTATCCTCCAATAGCTGTTTATATCTTACCCTAACTGCCTCCTCTTTTAGTTTATAAACCTTCACCTCTCTCTTCCCTGATGCTTCTATTCTCCTTGTATCCCATCTACCTTTTACTCTCAGTGTAGCTACAACTAGAAAGTGATCTGATATATCTGTGGCCCCTCTATAAACATGTACATCCTGAAGTCTACTCAACAGTCTTTTATCTACCAATACATAATCCAACAAACTACTGTCATTTCGCCCTACATCATATCGTGTATACTTATTTATCCTCTTTTTCTTAAAATATGTATTACCTATAACTAAACCCTTTCTATACAAAGTTCAATCAAAGGGCTCCCATTATCATTTACACCTGGCACCCCAAACTTACCTACCACACCCTCTCTAAAAGTTTCTCCTACTTTAGCATTCAAGTCCCCTACCACAATTACTCTCTCACTTGGTTCAAAGGCTCCTATACATTCACTTAACATCTCCCAAAATCTCTCTCTCTCCTCTGCATTCCTCTCTTCTCCAGGTGCATACACGCTTATTATGACCCACTTCTCGCATCCAACTTTACTTTAATCCACATAATTCTTGAATTTACACATTCATATTCTCTTTTCTCCTTCCATAACTGATCATTTAACATTACTACTACCCCTTCCTTTGCTCTAACTCTCTCAGATATATATATATATATATATATATATATATATATATATATATATATATGCAATAAAATATTCCTATTGGTAAAAAAAAAATATACTAAAAGATGGGGTGGTAGGGGAAGTGGAATATTCAAACGGCTTCAGGAAGAAATCCACATATTCTTCCTTGAAGTCTTTTTATGCACTTCTCCGAGGCAATGGGTCCCACAATTTACACCAGAGGTGGACCCCATCCTATATATATATATTATATAAAATGTATATATATATATTATATAAAATGTATATATATATTATATATATATATAAAATGTATATATATATTATATATATATATACATGTATATATATATTATATATATACATGTATACAGTGGACCCTCAACCAGCGATATTAATCCGTTCCTGAGAGCTCATCGTTAGTCAAGTTAATTTTCCCCATAAGAAACAATGGAAATCAAATTAATCTGTGCAAGACGCCCAAAAGTATTGAAAAAAACATTTTTTTACCACATGAAATATTAATTTTAATACAAACTGAAGATACATGCACAGTTACATGACACTTACCTTTATTGAAGATCTGGTGATGATTGATGGGATGAGAGGAGGGGAGAGGTGTTAGTGTTTAGAAGGGGAATCCCCTTCCATTAGCACTTGAGGCAGCAAGTCTTTTTCTGGGGTTACTTCCCTTGTTCTTTTAATGCCACTAGGACCAGCTTCAGAGTCACTGGACTTCTGTCGCACAACATATCTGTCCATAGATACCTGTACCTCTCGTTCCTTTATGACTTTCCTAAAGTGGTTCACAACATTGTCAGTGTACAGGTTGCCAACACGGCTTGAAGTAGCTGTGTCAGGGTGATTTTCATCAAAAAAGGTTTGCACTTCAAGCCACTTTGCACACATTTCCTTTATCTTAGAAGTAGGCAACTTCTTCAATTTCTCTCTCCCCTCCTCCGAAGCAGTTTCCTCAGGTCTGCCCTCTTGCTGTTCAAGATGATCTAGCAGCTCATCAGTGGTTAGTTCTTCACTGTCCTCCACCACCAACTCTTCCACATCCTCCCCACTAACCTCCAACCCCAAGGACTTCCCCAATGCCACAATGGATTCCTCAACTGGCATAGGCTTCTCGGGGTTAGCCTCAAACCCTTCAAAATCCCTTTTGTCTACACATTCTGGCCACAGTTTTTTCCAAGCAGAGTTCAATGTCCTCTTAGTCACTTCCTCCCAAGCCTTACCTATAATGTTTACACAATTGAGGATGGTAAAATGATCTTTCCAAAACTCTCTTAGAGTCAGTTGAGTTTCTGAGGTCACTACAAAGCACCTTTCAAACATACCTTTTATGTACAGTTTCTTGAAGTTGGAAATAACCTGCTGGTCCATGGGCTGCAGGAGAGGAGTGGTATTAGGAGGCAAAAACTTCACCTTAATGAAGCTCATGTCCCTAGAAAGTCGCTCTGCCACATCTGTAGGATGACCAGGGGCATTGTCTAATACCAGGAGGCACTTAAGGTCTAATTTCTTTTCAGTTAGGTAATTTTTCACATTGGGGGCAAATGCATGGTGTAACCAGTCATAGAAAAAGCCCCTAGTGACCCATGCCTTACTGTTTGCCCTCCACAGCACACACAAATTAGCCTTGAGGACATTGTTTTTCCTGAACACACTGGGGGTTTCAGAGTGATACACCAATAAAGGCTTCACTTTGCAATCACCACTAGCGTTGGCACACATCAACAGAGTAAGCCTGTCTTTCATAGGCTTATGTCCTGGGAGTGCCTTTTCCTCCTGAGTAATGCACGTCCTGCTTGGCATTTTCTTCCAAAACAGGCCTGTTTTGTCACAATTAAACACTTGTTCAGGTTTCAGTCCTTCACTGTCTATGTACTCCTTGAAGTCCTGCACATATTTTTCAGCCGATTTGTGGTCCGAACTGGCAGCCTCACCATGCCTTATCACACTATGAATGCCACTACGCTTCTTAAATCTCTCAAACCAACCTTTGCTGGCCTTAAATTCACTCACATCACTAGTTGCTGGCATTTTTTTAATTAAATCGTCATGCAACTTCCTAGCCTTTTCACATATGATCGCTTGAGAGATGCTGTCTCCTGCTATCTGTTTCTCGTTTATCCACACCAATAACAGTCTCTCAACATCTTCTATCACTTGCGATCTCAGTTTCGAAAACATAGTTGCACCTTTGGCAAGAACAGCTTCCTTGATTGCCGTTTTCTTGCCCACAATAGTAGCGATGGTTGATTGGGGTTTATTATACAACCTGACCAGCTCAGAGATATGCACTCCACTTTCATATTTATCAATGATCTCTTTCTTCATCTCCATAGTAATTCTCACCCTTTTTGCTGTAGGGTTGGCACTAGAAGCTTTCTTGGGGCCCATGGTGACTTATTTTGCAGGTGCAATCACTAAAAAGGCCGTGATAATATGAAATGTTCCAGTTGTATGTTTGGAAGCGACCGCGGTGGCTGGCTGGCTTGTAAACACTGGCACCAAAGGGACAAGTGAGGCGCGCTCAGGCCAAAGTGGACGCGTATGGTACGGAACGAATAGCGCTGGTCAGGTTTTTAAGAGCTAGTCGAGGCAAAATTTTTGCGTTAAAATGTATCGCTAGTCAGATTTATCGTTAATTGATGCCATCGCTGGTTGAGGGTTCACTGTATATATATTATATATATATATACATGTATATATATATTATATATATATATATATATATATATATATATATATATATATATATATATATATATAATATATATATATATATATATATATATATATATATATTTTTCTTTTTTTTTTTTCAACAAGTCGGCCGTCTCCCACTGAGGCAGGGTGATCCAAAAAAGAAAGAAAATCCCCAAAAAGAAAATGCTTTCATCATCATTCAACACTTTCACCACACTCACACATTATCACTGTTTTTGCAGAGGTGCTCAGAATACAACAGTTTAGAAGCATGTACGTATAAAGATACACAACATATCACTCCAAACTGCCAATATCCCAAACCCCTCCTTTAAAGTGCAGGCATTGTACTTCCCATTTCCAGGACTCAAGTCCGGCCTGCCGGTTTACCTGAACCCCTTCATAAATGTTACTTTGCTCACACTTCAACAGCACGTCAAGTATTAAAAACCATTTGTCTCCATTCACTCCTATCAAACACGCTCACGCATGCCTGCTGGAAGTCCAAGCCCCTCGCACACAAAACCTCCTTTACCCCCCTCCCTCCAACCCTTCCTAGGCTGACCCCTACCCTGCCTTCCTTCCACTACAGACTGATACACTCTTGAAGTCATTCTGTTTCGCTCCATTCTCTCTACATGTCTGAATCACCTCAACAATCCTTCCTCAGCCCTCTGGACAACAGTTTTGGTAATCCCGCACCTCCTCCTAACTTCCAAACTACGAATTCTCTGCATTATATTCACACCACACATTGCCCTCAGACACGACATCTCCACTGCCTCCTGTTTTTAACATGAAGAATGTTAAAAACAGCAAAAAAAATATTGCTTAAAATTATACTGCACACGAAATATAGTACTGTACCCTCAATTTTAAGTTATATTAAACATTGAAAATAAAGGAGTTAAAAAAGTACAATTTATGCAGTAGATTTTGGTCATTGTATTTTAAAAGTCCATAATACTGATGTCCATTATAATGAGGGTTTGCCATGTCAGTTAATCCATTTTAACTGTATTTCTATTGTAAAGAACAAGGTTTCTTATTTGTGGCACTTTAAGGAGAAAGTAAAATAACAACTTGTACATTCTGATAAGCTTCATCAAGAAATGTTTATAGTCTACATGGTCTATATAAAAGATTTTTTTTTTTAACATAGAACAGATTGTATGACCCTTGTGGGTTTAGCACTTTTTGATTGTAATAACACAGAACAGTGTTAAAGCATCCACCTGCAACTCCTGCACAATACAACTGACAACTTGTGTAGGATTCCTCTGGGTTTTGTTTTTCAACACTAAATTCAGTTGGCATTTTATTTTATTTTAGGGAAATGAATACTACATGAAAATGTAGAAGAGCTTAATAATACTGAATTTGGTAAGACTACACTACATGTAGAACTTTATAGGAAAATACAAACCAACAAAACTCCAAAATATATGCTGTATTAACATTAATTTTGTCATATTCAGAAGTGACACTGTTTGGGCTCCCTCACATAAAGTTGATGGGTATGCTATTATTAATTCAGATAGGCCTAAGATTACAACTTTAACATTGTGATAGCATGAAATTTTGTCACAATGAATTTATTACTTACAGCAATATATAAATAATTTATTCTCGTTTCAGAATGTCACAATTTCCATCTTGCTCGGTACTTTGTACTGGTGTGTACCACACTGAAGCAGTGATGCCTGATTCCCACAGTCTTGTGTATAATATGGAAGCATTAAGTGATAACTCTGATACACTACAAGCACACAAATCAAATTTCATACAATTTAATTACAATTATATTAAAACAGTGTCTATTATTGCTTAAAACTAAAACAAAATATTGGTTCGCCAAGACCATAGTCAATACAAAATATTGGTAAAAATAAGAGTATTGCAAAATAATTTAGAAATTACAACTGTTCCTTTTAAAAACAATTGTCAAGGTCAAAAGAATTTTTTCATAACAAATGCTGTTCATAAACAGTATTTTTACAGCACAATAATGTATTGCCCACATACGTGGTAACTGATACAGTTTACTTTATAATGCAATAAAAAACTTGGGTTGATTTAGAGCTTTAGCCAGCTGAAGCTTGCCAGTGTCCCTGCTCTTCTATGAAGAAAATTAATAATATTTAATTAAATAAAAAGATACATAAAATTACATAGAAAAACTTCAATGAGGACATGAATTGTGAAAAAAAAAAACACTTATGAGAATGCATTTAAACATACATTAAACAAACTCGTCTAAACATTATACACTACAGTACACACAAATATAAAACTAACATACAACATTCTAACCATCATTCAGTCTGAAAAGACTTTCTTTTTAATCCCTAAGACAGTATTTTTTGGCATTTCAAGTATTGTTCTTCTGTAATCACATTGCTAACACTTAAAATGTCAGTCCATTATCCTCATTTTTTTTATAAATTAAATTAAACCAAATTTTATTTTTAAAATAGTATAAAATACTGACAAATTGAAGAGTAAGATACATGGGCAACTGTTGCACATATGTCTTGCTCTTCAAATTTTTTATTTTAAAATTAAAACCTTATATAGATAAAAAAAAAAAAAAAAAAAAAAAAAAAAAAAAAAAAAAAACAGATTCAGTAACTCTCAGTATAAAGAAATACGTTGCAAAATTTCCCAAATATTTTGACAGCATTGTTGTGGTCTAAAACACCCCCAAGTTCCTTTCTCAGTAACCCTTCATGTAAAACAAAAATAAAAAGTCAAGGTTACATCCTTTTAGTGAGTTATATTTAAGAACGACACTAAAAGTAATGTAGGATGAAAACTACAGGACTGGAGGATACTGGCAGTCACAATGTGGGTGGAATGGCACATACCCATAGGGTAATATAGTACCCTGGGAAGAGGAAAAGGGGGAGGCTCTGCCCAGTGACTAGCAGTGCTGGGCCTGTCCATTCACACTAAACTATGTACACTGTACATTAGGCCATGGCACATGGTCACTTGAGCGTGACTTTGTTATTTATGATCACGGTATCGTCCCCTGGGTTCTGAAGATGTACGCTGCCCGTGTGCTACTGATGATCCACTTCGATGTACATTCCTTTCTCGAGAGCTTGAGTGACGGGGTTGTTCTTGATCAAGTGCACGGGAAGAGCCATGTCGATGATCAGAGGAATACTTAGCAGATGAACGTTGTTCGTGGTAACTCCGACGTGGATCTTCCCATTCACCATATCTATCGAGACGATGTTCCTTTCCTCTACGCTCTTCAGCTTCCAAATCGTCACTTATATAACCATTATTACTATACACCTCTAGAATTGGAAGTCCATGACGTCCTCCAGTTCCATTAGCAATATCTGAACCACTACGCCGTGTTATGACTCCCTTACTCAAGCTTGACTCGCTAGACTCTTCACCAGAAGTGCCAAGACCTAAGTCTTTTTCTAGACAATTACCATCCTCCTTACTGGATGCTAGCATGGCATTAGCACCTGAAGCAAGAAAGGCTCCAGAACGACTCAGTGCCACGGGTCCTACTTGTGAAGGTGCTGCTCCATTGTGTGCTGCAGGCACACTGTGTGGCCGTGGAATCTTTAGGCTGTTAGGATCAATGTGACCTGTAGGAGAAATTTCTTGACCATGCACAAAGAATGGATGACCATTTGTTTTAGAAGGTGGTTGGTGCTTGGTTGGTTTCTTTTTACTACAGGAACCAGGACCCATAAGAGAAAGAAGAACTGGCAACAGTAAGATTCCATGCAAAGCACCAAAGAATATAACAAGGAAGACAGTCTTGAAGAAAGTGATGAATATATAGGAGGGAGCTAGGATAAGTGCTGTGATGCCTAAAATGGTTGAGAGGCCACCTTGTATTATAGGAACACCAAGGGCATACAGACATTCCTGCACACGTTCATCTGGTGTGTCCACTTTAGCTGCTAGATAGGCATAGGAAATGTGAGCAGAGAAGTCAACACTAAAACCAATACACATTATAAGATTGATCATTGAAATGGAATCTAAATTAACTCCCCATAAAGTCATGTATCCAACAACACCTATTTCAATGGACACAATGGAGAAAGCAACCCAAAGAGAGCACAGAGGATTTGGTATAAATATAAGTGAGACCACCATCATTATACCAGCAGCAAGACAGATGGCTTGTATGCTTGTTGTCCTCACTAAAACATACTGTAAAAAAAAGAAAGCACATAGTTAATAAAGAATAAAACTCACAATAATGTGACTGAAACAAATCACTAATAACACAAAATGAGAGGTGAAACTGGACAACATTTTAATCTGTCATGAACCATTACTTTACAATGGTGTAGGACGGACCAGATGATCCTCTAATCTCATCTCTACTTTGTAAATTAATGAAATGATATTTATCATTTATGTAACTGTTTCACTGTAAATATACAAATAAATGTAGTCCACAAACCTGATCAAAGTAGATGAAAAATGGGTTGAACACAGTGACGTTGAATTTTGAATCTGAAGCTACTTTCCGGAATGCCTCCATCATGTCTTTGTCTGCATTTGCATCAAGTATCTTGTACGTCTGGACTATAAACCTGGAAGCAATGATGCGAGTGCTGTTTTCATTGAATTTGACGTCCTGGGCAAATGGATTGGCTGGACCTGACAGGTACAGCTGGGAAAGACAAATAGAATTATCACCATTAATTTTGTACATTTGACAGAAAATTAAAATATAAAATGTTTCTTTTGTGTGTGCAAGGACTTTCATTACAACTGCAGTACAGAACTTAAAATACAAAGCCAATTCCTTACTACAATCAAATTACATCTGTGGCTCATTCTTTATGTGCATACTCTTATGGGGAGGCCTAGATGCTGTTAGTGCTTTAGGTCTAAGGAAATGAAGCTACCCTCCCCTTCCTCAAATCGAACCTGATAACCTTCTGTTCCCAAGATGCTGTATAATTTTTGTGAATATAATAATATACACAGTATTTATTTCTTTTACAGATATACTTGTCAGTTGCCATTATTCTGTACTGTTTCTCTATCACTATCACCTCTCCCATTTTTCATCACCCTGTCTCCCCAGTATCTTTCAGTGTGTGTATTTGGTATCTTTTAAAAGATTATTTTATGTAGTACTCTATACTGCATTCCACTGCAAATTTCACTCTGATAAATTCCCTTGTTAAATCCGGTCAATTGTTACATCTTTTAGAACTGACCATTGTAGTTGCAACAGTCTTTACTCTACCTGCAGATAAACAACAACAAAACTATTTCCATAAAATGGACTACAGTACATTATACAATTAGGGAAATTGACATATATAAATTTATAGAAAATTCTTTATCACACAAGACATTTTGGGCAGCCTTAAAACTAAATTTTGATTACTAGTATAATGAGATAAGAGTACGTACTAGTTTATATTATATTGGAGGTATCCAGTAATTCAATAAAACATCTGATGAGTGATACACTAAGGATGAAACTAGGTGCCTTAGTTAAAGGAATGATGGAACAAAAACAGGAACAATATTGGATGCAATATAGGGTTTTTAGGTTTTCAGGAATTTTTCAGCAATAAATTGTTAGGATCACATTAAGGTAGGGTGGTGTTTTATAGCAGTAGTTTTGAAGTGGCTGGCAAATAGAGAGAGATTGGAATCTTCAGGGAGAGATTTCCATATTTTTGGTCCTTTTATGCCCATTGAGTTTTTACAAAAGTTGAGCTGGACACAGGGAATAACAAAGATATTTTTGTGTCTAGTATTAAGCCTACAAGTTCTGTTGCAACTATCAAGAGTATCAGGGCTGGACTGATATTAGAATTGATTGGCCTGCTAAACAGAGCAATAAAGCTGTTGACGAGTGTACCTGCTGAAGCTGCCGACACAAAAAATGTTCAGATTTATAACTGATTCGGGAAGCTATCAGGTGATGTAGGTGAAGGCTTTATAGCTGCATGGTTCCTCTCTCCTACCCTTCAAAGAGGATGCACTGATGTTGAAGGGCTCTTAATCCAAAGAATCAGAGCTATTCTCTTCCTGGATAAAGCCTGACTATCCTTCCCCTCTCTCCACTCCTCCATGATTTGTGGGTTTTGCATTTTCTCAAAAATATAATAAAAAATAATTATACTACCCTTGCAGAGCATTTCACATTCAACCATTGTTTCATTCTCAGTAAACACGAGGGCTGCCTCTTGTTGGGTCTCGAGTCATTCCCATGATTCGGTCTGCTTGTGGACTAACAATAGTACAGGTTCTTCACTCTCCCACAAGCAATTATCCCTTTCCAGTTCCTTTCATTATTAATTGCTTCACTGACTTTCAGTAGCAGAGAATAAGTGGTTTTCTAAGAAGTTAAATGATGCTTCTAGCCATTTTCACTTCATCGCTGGCTATTGCAGGACCCAGTTCTTTTGAGACTTAACTGGACAAAGTAAACTCAGTTTTGGTCATCTAAGAAGAGGGTGTCCTGGGACACTGCGTGATTTTCAAAGTCCAAACAGCTATCAAACTTTTTTGGGTTTTAACTTTATTTTCAAGTCTTTCTAAAGCTCTGTTCTATATACTATATATTTCTATAATAGTACTATCTCTTGCTACCCTCTACCCCCGTACTATCCCCTGCCCCGCTGTTTTCTGTAACCTGCTGATCATCCCCCCTCCCTTCTGCCATCCAATTCCCTTGCTTCCTTCCCTACCCTGCAGCGCTGTATAGCCCTTGTGGCTTAGCGCTTCTTTTTGATTATAATAATAATATAATAGTACTGTCTTAAATGGAGACACTATCAATGAACTTGCATCCATTACTGATCTCTATTTTATTTACTTGTACTCGTATTAATAATAATAATAATAATAATAATAATAATTATTTCTTTGTAAAGGTGACAATGTGTAATTACAATTTTGATTTGCTAAGTACAAAGATAGCCACTATCATGCCGAGGCACTTCGAGCAAACTAATCCTAATACATAGTAACTAATTAAAACTAGGTAAGATAATAGTATATAGTAATTATTACTTAAAACTAAACATAGAATAGTGGTTAGCTGTTTTACAATCTTGTTTGGACTTAATCTTATGTATACTTAGTACAAAATCTAATTTACCAGGAATGGTGCAGGTGGTAATATTTTATGGAATGGTAGAATTAAAAGTCAGGAGCTCACATGATAAAACTAGCCAGCAGATGTTTGGTTGATTTGGTTAGTATTGTGCAATAAGATGATTTTTTAGCAGAGTCCTAAATTTATAAGTTGTCTGGGGATCCTTGACTTGTTCCGGTAGCGAGTTCCAGATCTTTGGGCCTTTTATGTGCATACGTTCTTGCATAGCGAGAGTTTTACTCGAGGGATGTTGAAAAGGACCTTATGCCTTGTATTGTGACTGTGCATTCTGTTGTAACTGTCGAGTAGTAGTTTTACGGGGGGGGGGGGGGGTACAGTGGAGTTTAAAGTTCTGTATATGTAGTAGGCACAATAATAAGAGTGTATTTCTTGTATATTTATCAAGTTGAGTCCTCTGAAAAGTGGTGGGGTGTGCTGTCTAGCACAGGAGCTGGTTATCACCTGCACAGCAGCTTTTTGTTGGATTATTAAGGGTCTCAGGTGGTTGGCTGTGGTAGAGCCCCAGGCACAGACACCATAGGCGAGGTAAGGATATATTAGAGAATGGTACAAGGTAAGGAGAGTCGTTTGTGGTACATAATAGCGTATCTTGGAAAGGATTCCTACTGATTTGGAATTTTTCTTGGCTATGTGATGGGTATGGGACAGAAATTTAAGATTACAGTCAAGGAGAAGACCTAGAAATTTGCCCTCCATGTAACTCAGTATGTTGAGTTGAACATTTGAGGCTCTGTTGCCAAACAGCATGAAGTAAGTTTTTTCTATGTTAAGTGTGAGTTTGTTGGTCATCATCCAAGCATATATCTTTAGCAGTTCATTGTTTACAGTGTTTTCAAGCACAGCTGGGTCTGAATGGGAGTAGACATATGTAGTGTCATCTGCGAATAGAATTGGTGTAAGGAGTTGGGATGCATTGGGAGATCATTGATGCAGATGAGAAAGAGGAGTGGGCCTAGGACACTACCTTGGGGTACTCCTACAGCTACAGGATGGATAGTGGAGTTGACTCCATTTGCGTGGACATACTGGTGTCTGTCGTTAAGATAGGATTTTAGGTAGTCAAGAGAATGTCCTATTATGCCATAATGATTCAGTTTGAGGAGCAAGAGATTGTGGTCAACAATGTCGAATGCTTTTCTTAGGTCGACAAAGAGTCCCATGGGATATTCATTCTTATCGAGAGTTGTGTATATTAGGTCAAGCATTTGTATAATAGCATCATTCATGCTTTTTTTTTTTGGTCTAAATCCAAACTGGCATGGGTTAAGTATGTTGTTGGATGTAAGGTAGGAGTAAAGTCGCTTGTGTATTATTTTTTCAAATATCTTGGATAGTAAGGGCAAGTTTGATATGGGTCTGTAATTGTTCAAATCAGTTGGATCTCCACCTTTGTGGATCAGGGTGACCCTTGCTGTCTTGAGTATGGATGGGAAGGTTGAGGAAGCTATAGAAGCTATACATTGTTGCAATAATGGGCGACAGTTCTGGTGCAGCTTTTTTATATATGAATGGTGGCAAGTTATCTAGATCACCTGATTTGTTTTTTAATGATTTAATGATGAGCGAGACTTCAGTGGGATTAATTGGAGCTAGAAATAGAGTATTTGGATAGTTGCCAGTGAGGTACTCGCTCAGATGAGTATTTGAGCTAGGAATTTGACTCGCTAGCTTTGATCCTACAGTAGAGAAGAAGACATTAAATTTGTCGGCCGTGTCTATAGGTTTATTTATTTATTTATTTATTTATTTATTTATTTATTTATAATTTGAGCACACTTACAGAGGTACAAAAAAAAATACAGATAAGAGCAGCATGCCAAAGCCACTTATACTATGCATAGCATTACGGGCTGGCTTAAAATTAACTTAAGATTAACTAAGCAATGATGAAATCAGTGAAAAACATTAATGTAAACTGATTACTATAAAGCACAAGTGAGTATTACAAAGACAGGTCATATGGTTGCATGCATTGTTGTAAATTCAGTAGAATGGAGTATTCTGTTAGGTAGTGAATTTAAAAAATAATAAAGTTAGATTGGGTTTTAGGTTTAACATTTATGTGATATAATTGTGAGAAACATTTAAGATATACAATTTATAAGGTTCAGTTATTCAGTATATTATTTGGTTTTGGGTGAGTAAGTGATCTTTGAGAAGAGACTTGAATTTATAAAACATGGTAGTGTTTCTTTTATATTTACAGGTAATGAATTCCAGATTTTAGGGCCTTTTATGTGCATTGAGTTTTTGCATAGCGTGAGGATGGACAGAGGAATATCAAAGAGTGATCTGTGCCTTGTTTTATGGTCATGTGTTCTGTTGACGTTGGCAAGGAGATGTTTGAGGGGAGGGTTAATATCAGAGTTGAGTGTTCTATGTATGTAATAGGTGCAGTAATAAGTCATGGATGTTTTGTATGGTGAGTAGGTTGAGTGTATGAATATTGGTGGAGTGTGATCTGCCTGTAGTGAGAATTGTTATCAATCTAACTGCAGCCTTTTGTTGGGTAATTAGTGGTCTGA